AGGTAAAAAAATCTTAAAGGGCTATCAAAAATATAATACAAATTGGCGCCAATTTTAGTCTTTAACTTCTGGTTAACCTATCTTGCTTCACCTGTATTTTTAAGCAAAAAAGGGAGTTTGTTTTCGAAATTTTTTTTTTGCTATTTATTTAGACACTTTTTATAAATATATATAGGATGTCAAAACCTTGGCGACGCTATCGACTTTTCCGAAATATATTTTTTTACCAAAAATTGAAGAAAAAAGTAGATGGCGCTAATGGTTGAAAAATATTATTCATGAAAATATAAATACGTTTATAAGAAATGGGATAAAATTTTCCAGCTCTGCCCCCCCCCCCCCCATTATTCTTAAAATGTTTTACATTTTTTAGATCTTTACTTACTACTATAACGAATGACTTATTAGCTCGATAATGTATAACAGCCGCAGTAAAAACGAATATTTTATTAGGCATATTATCGATTATATTTTACAAAATAAACTGTTTAAAACGATCTCTCTTCCTGCATAATATTTTTAACTTGCCGTTCAGATTAATTTTAAATAATTCAACTCGTCTGCAGCTAATTATTTTATCGTCTGTCTACCAATAACATTCTGGATTTGGAGAGTGCAAAAACATATATTATAGGTGCAGATCAATTAAAATTTTATTCCATATCACAGATGGACGTACCAAATATTAAAATATTGCAACCCATTTAATCTACAGAGACATGCTTATCGCAAGAATCTAAGAAAGATTCTACCCTGGATGACCCAAAAAAAATTTACCATTCAATTTAGATATGTTAATATGCTCTTCATGCCTACAAAAATTAGCAAACATTCCTTATACTTCAAATGACAATGTAGATATTGATTCTTCCCTTCATAAAATATAATCAAACTAAATTAATTAAAAAAAATTAAAATAATCAAAAATTAAAATTAAAAATTATAATTAAGTTTGTAAAATCATGATCTATCCCTATACAAATATCCTCGAATATATATATACTTTTCTATAATTCATTTATATAATGTTTTACAAACAAACTGAAAAAAATCTTGAACTTTCTTTAATTTGAATAATCATTCTTTTTTATTCATCTTTCTTTAAATCATTTGCATTCGAAATTTAATTCTTTTTTCTTGAGTAGATTTGAATATCTTTCGGCTTCGTAATTTGGTTTAACAATTACAACACCCTTCCACTTAGATTAGTCCCACCATTCTGCGAGTATAGGCCATTGACGAACTCGATTCACTTCTGTTATCATGGTTCCCGATACATTCTTCTAGCTCTTTTAATTATATCTCGTTTTACTCCCACATTATCCTAGTCTTTGCTTGTTTCTAACGGTTTCTAGTAACTAATGACGGTAAACCACTGACGATAATTTGTCTGCGAGTAACGATTGTTTCCACGCCTTCTTGTTCGATTTTTTATCCTATACTAAAGTTTTGATAAGCAATTGGCGATAATTTGTCAACGATTAACGATAGCATCCTGGTCTTGACCACTTGTTCTACCTAGTCGCTTGTCAAGTTTGTCTTAAGATCTCTTATACAATAATGATTTTTTGTCTCTTTTGATCCAAAATAAAAAATCCGATCTCTAATTGAGCTCGATTGCGGCATAAATTTTCTAATGACGAAAAGCCGTTTCTCTTTATGAAGATTTTTTGGTTAATCAACAACCTGATATTTTGCTAAATATTATCAACTTAAATAACAGTCAACCGTATATCTTTAATAAAAATTTATAACGAATTTCTTTTAGCTACATCGATCACTTGTACGTATAACGATCTCTTGTGACGCATTCTTTTTAGCTAAACGACTAATTCTCCGAAATACGACCATTAATATTGATACCATTATTTTATTGCTCTCATTCTTTGTCTTAGTGTCGATAGTCATCTCATACATCCCCTTCCCCCTTTATTTAGAATCTCTTTTCAGAGTTAATTAGACTGAATTATTGTAAAGGGTCGGTCTCCTCCGCTCTCCAACACCAGTGTAGTAAACTGTGTTAAATATTGATACCATTGTTTTATTGCTCTCATTACTATTGATAACATTAATATATCCCTACAATCAAATGAGAAATCTCTCATTAAAGAAAACCCTTATGTGAAAAGAAATATTCTAAGAAAAAAAATTCTAGAGCAAAAAAAGTTTGACGAATAAATTTATACCATTATCTTCATCAAATGATGAAAAATTTGATGAAATTCTAGATATCTTAAAAATTAAAAAAATTATATGAAAGATATTTATTATTGGAAATTTGTTACATTATTAAGTGTCTAATGGGCATATGCCCACTCTGCTCCTCAGTTTAATTAGTATATTTAATAGAAATTCAAAATTTTTTAGTATAAAAAGTGAAAATATCCGGTTATTGATAAGTTAGCAGCAAAATTTAAACCATAATCCGTAATTTGTCATCTATTTCTTTCATCAAGGAGTCGATGGCGTCGCCAAGGGTTTGATATCATATATATATTTAGCAAACGTGTCTAAATAAAAAGCAATAAGAAAATTTCGAAAACAAACTCTACTTTTTGATTAAAAATACAGGTGAAGCAAGATAGTTAAACCGGAGGTTAAAGACTAAAATCGGCGCCAATTTGTATTATATTTTTGATAGCCCTTTAAGACTTTTTTTACCTACAATATGATATATTATACATTTTTTTACTATAAATAGTTTTTGAGATATAAGCATTTTAAAATTTTTACAGATTCTAAAGTGGTTCTTTTTTGCACTTTTGAACAACTATATCTCGGGAACCAGATGTGCTAGCTAGTTAAAATAAACGGATTTCTCATTTATATACAAATCTAAATAATTCCAGAAATTTTTAACAATTTTAAAAGGGGTTGACCGAAAATGTGCCTTTTTTGATCGATTTGACATGGAAAGGCTCATGTGCAATTATTAAATAAGCTTGTACTATTTTGTTTAATATTTTTAGGCATATTTTGAAATTGGTAAAATAATTTCATGACAAGAAATCAACCTAATTTGCTAAACATCGACCAAAATTTATTAAAATGTAATAAGAACCCCCATTTATTATTTAATTTAATATGTATACGGAATCACGAGGTCGAGTCCTATATCATAAACCAGAAATCACTTGGTTATGGAAGTAAAACAATAAAAGAATTTTTTAAAAAAATTTTTAAGTACCCCCATTCAAAATTTTAGAAGCAGTTGCTTCGGACCCTCACCGTTGTAGGGGCCACTGGTCCCCGGGTAGGGTTCACTCGTTCCCAAAAAAAATTCCAGAAAAAAGTATTAGATATATATTTTTGAAATTTAAAACTACTATAAAACTAATCCATTTTTTCGAGTATTTAATGATTTAAAGCATAAAAGTAATACATATTAAATATCTCTAAAAAATAAAATTTTATGGTGCCAGCCAGGCGACAAAAAATATAATTTAATAGTTTTTAAAAAAAAAGATTCCGAATCCCCTTAAATATTTTTGTAATAATTATTTTTTGAAGGAGTAAAAAGAAACTTTAGAAAAAACGGTTAAACCGGTTCAGTTTTTATATTTTAGAGAAATAATTTGAATATACAGAATTATATAAACGTTCTCTTATAGTACTGGCGGTTCCCGCAACACAAGTTTCTGTAGAAAGGGCTAAGTTCAATATATTTAAAAATAAGTTTATTTTGAATCTTATATATTTTTTTTATATATAATTCATAGATGCTTATAATATAAATAAATTAGAAGATGGTTTCAATAAAAAAAAAATTTCTAACCTTAATGAACTAAACCTTTATAATTAGTTGAACCGAACCGAACCTTTATAAATTTCTTCTTAAGAACCGTAACCAAAACGTAACTATTATAATTTTTTACATACTGAACCGTAACCGTCCCTGCTTTAATGTTCAACGAAAATTGTTGCAATAATTCGGATTTTTTATAAATATATTTATTAATATTTTTTAAAACAAAAATGTCTTAACCTCATCCCTTTTCATTCATTATATGCCTTAATTTTATACTATTTACTTTTTTTTAAATTCTCTTTTTAAATCCCTTATTTTGGCCTTTTAATTATATGGTGCTAGCCGCAAAAAGAGAGAAGAAAAAGATAAATTATTTTATTTTTTATCATGGGGATTCGGAATATTTTTTAAATATTTTTAAAAAAAGATCCCAATACGACATATATATTACAATCAAATGACCTTCAATTTTACGTGTTATTTTATAATTCATAAATGCAATAGTCAGCCTAGATATGGATTTAATAAAATAATTTTTTATATAAAATTTAAATGCCGATCCGAAAATAAGAACAAATTTAAAGAAAGCGGGATTTGAACCTTGTACTGTAGCTAGAAATGATTTAAAGCGAACCGAACAATACTCTATTTGATATTGGAAGTAAAATTTATATTATAAACTATTGCGATTCAGCCCAGTCTTTGGTTCTATCCTTATCAAAAAGCAGGTCCAGTTCATGACTTTTAATAATTTACGGAATATGCACTTGCTTTACAAAAAAATAGATATATGATTTATTCCAAATCGGAGACTTACAGGACCTCGCTAGCTTTTTATAACTTTTTGAAACTAGGGTTTTAAATTTAATTATCTTGCGGCTAATTCGAGTTTTAAAAATGTTAATTTTAAGGGCCCTCAGTTTTTTTATAATTCATCATTTTTGGTTATATTTTGTAGATGATTTGAAAAAGGAAATTATAGAACATTAATCGGCGAACTAATGTAAATAATCTATAAAGAAATTCATCAACTAGTGAATTGATACAATTTAATATATTTCATCTAGTAGTTTATATTTCTTAAAAACACTGATATTTATTCATGTTGGACCGTCTCAGCCTAGATTTAGTTTAGGGTTTTAAAATTTATGCTTTTAATAATATTTATTTCGCTCATATGAAGATTATTAACTAGAGTTAGGATTCGTTATATAGATATAGACACTGATTTTTTGTTTTATCTTTTGACAAGATTTTGATAATGACTACGAGATAAGATACATAAAGAAAACGCCCTGGTACCTAATCAACGCAATAAATACAAAAAATAAATCTAAAGTATTTAACGTCAAAGAATACACTGATTATCGCATAACAACTCTAACTTCTCCATTATAATTAATTACAATATATTTTGATATAATAGACGTTAGCATTTAAATTATATTATAGATTACGAAGAATATTAGTTTATATGATATTTTATAATCAATAATTTTATGTTACTACTACTATTATTACGCTTAGAATATTTCCTTAACTTTATAATTATTTAATAAATAATTATTCATAAAATAATGATCAGTTAATGAGATTCACAATCATTTTATATTAATATTAAATGTGTGTATAGCTTTTTAACATAGAATAACTAACGGTTTATTACTTATTATAAAAAACACTGATCAAGAATCATATTCTCCTGCTTTAGATGATCATATTAATAGCCAGTTAATCATAAAATAGTCTTTCCATTTTTTTATCAAGTCCGCGAGTTACTAATATATTAAGTTATAATTAATTTTTTTATATCTGTTTATTATATGTATATTTTCATTAAAATATCGGTGGGAAATATGTCCCGAACAAAATATCAGATATAAATAATCATTAATTTCTTAAATAATAGTTAATCACCAATACAATTTTATAAAAAATCCCAGATGAATCTGTCTCTGAATTAATTTTTATGATTTATTAATAACAAAATTGTAAGAGATATAACTATAAAAATGTTTGAATCAACAATCTCTTAGTGCTAATTTTAAAAAACCTAGCCCTTATTGGTGCAACTACTTTATAAAAAAAATAACACCGCTTAATATAGTTATTTTCTCAAAAACCATTGTTTAGTAATTTTTTACAAATTTTTTAAAAAAGTAGCATGCTAATAGCTATTATATTAGAAAATTAGCTTTCGCTAATTTACGCTACTTTATAAAAAATATTTTGTAAAATATCTTTAAAAAATTGGAATTGATACATTAACCAAAATATATTAATTTCCTTAGTGACTTGTATAAAATAAGAAAAGATATATAAACGACTTATTTTATTAATACAGGGGTAATTGCTAAATATAGGTTCAGTTATGCTAAATTACAGATCATAACTGATAATAATATAATTGAGGGTAGTGTTGTATTTAATTTAATAAAGATATTTATAAATTAGGAAAATTCATTGAATATGATCTGGCATTATTTTTTTGTTGCAAAAAAAGAATGTCATGGATTTTCTATTATATATGTTGAGTTGCGTAAACTTCAACACAAATTTTCAAAAAACTTCTCTAAACGCCATTTCTTGTTTGAGTGCCTGCAAACTTTAAAAAATTTTTTAATTCGTTCACGTTTGTTGCTCATTAGCAAAGAATTGAATAAATTTCTGTTTTAAACTATTTGCGAGGAATGCCCTATATTTCGTAAACTCGTTTGCATTCATTCATATCTAAAAAAATATATTTAATTATAAACATGATGCATAATTATGATAAAATCTAAAACACCAATTTAGTCAATCATTTAATATTTTCATTTTATAATGGAACATAATGAATGCGTTAAAATTAAAATCACATTATAGAACAATAAATTAAGACTTAAAATATATTACTAGTTAATTTAAAACAAAATTTCTATTAATATTAAATTGTTATTTAAGATTTTGATTCAATATGCAAAAATGTTTAAATAATTAAAACTCAATTTGCTGCGAATTTCCACTCTGAGGACGGTATTGAAATATTTTTTAATGATAGATAAAAATAATATTTCTGGATATTTATTTTCAATAAACCATTATCGACCAAATTTTTCCACTAATTCTTCGATAAAAAGATTATTTCAAAATATATTTCTCAGTTCTGAAGCAACTGACATTTCTTGGTTATTTTTTCAAAATATGATACTAGTTATTTTTTAAATTATTTCATTAAGTGAAATCTTTATCAAAGGATATTATATTAGAGTTTATATAATCGGGATGCATTATGGAGAAAATAGTATAATAATTTTCATATCTAAAACAACTGTTTCTACTTTTAGAAGAACTTATAATACAAATAATCTATAATAATCTGGAATCATCTGGTGATTCCTCTTATTTTAAACCATTACCGAATGCAATTTAAATTCGTAAGAAACCCTGACCTTACTGAAACGAATTACTGCACATAATTAATTTTAGACAATTCCGCCATATGTTTTTTTCATATAAAAAGTCTATAATATAAATTAAGATTAGTTTAAAAGTTTGGAAAAATTGTCTGAAATTTACAGTGTTGGTTACTTTATTTATACTGGAATTTATTTTCCAAATAAGGTTTTTCAGATTTGAATTACTGCACATAATTAATTTTAGACAATTCCGCCATATGTTTTTTTCATATAAAAAGTCTATAATATAAATTAAGATTAGTTTAAAAGTTTGGAAAAATTGTCTGAAATTTACAGTGTTGGTTACTTTATTTATACTGGAATTTATTTTCCAAATAAGGTTTTTCAGATTTAAAAATTGCTCCCAGTTTATGGTTTGGAATTGAGAGATTTAATCCAATAAAGTATTTGGGATAAGCCCTTATCTATGCATAAATCTAGAAAGATTAAAATATAAATATAATTGATTTGAAAATGATAATTTAAGTAATATTAATCACAAATATTATCTCATTTGATAGTTCTTGACAATAAGTTAAACTTGTAATTTTTTAATTTGTATTGCCATTATTGTAAACGTCAAATAGCTCAAATGCATGATATCTTCACTTTCTAAAATTGAAAATGCATATGTATTGGCTCGATAATCTATTATAATATTTTTATATAAATTATTTTGACACTTGTTTGGAGTCAAAATCGAGATAATTATTGTAATTAGGCCAAGGATATTGGAAAAGATGTATAATCTGAATTCAAAATATCATGCATATATATATATACTAGCTAATAACCCGTCAAGAATGAGAAGGGGTAATTAGTTAGTTTGTGTATATGCTAAAAATAGAGATGCTTCAAAATTTTTGAATTTTAAATATTGATCTCAAAATTTTGTTTTGTAGACACAACCAGGGGCGGACTGGCCATAAGACCAGGTGGGCATTTTGCCCACGAGGCCGCGTTAAATGTCGATTTTTGAGGCCGATCAGAGAAAAATATCAAAAAAGAGGCCGATTAGAAAAAAAATATATTATTATGTTCACATTATTTATTATTATCATTTATTTATTTTTAATGATATCTCTATGATTTGAATATCACATTCCTTGACAATTGTCATGTCGTTTACTATAATTTAATGCATAAAATACCAGTAACGTAGCTTGATGCTATACATCATTACCTCGTTTTTTTCTTTGCTTTTATTCAAATGAAGTAAAAACGCTTCCGTTTGAGTAGAGTGAAAGTTAAGTTTTGATTAATTCATTATATTACATTTTTATACATTGATTTATTGTAGAAATAATATAGCCAACATTTCTTGTTCTTAATTCATTGAAATCAAATAAAATCCAGGTCGGTGAATCAGATTCTAAGGATGGATGCTTAGGTGAAACAGAATAATTCATCTGGCCAAAATAAGTTGAGAAAGCTGCAAAAAATTTCTCGATCTAGAAAAGGCCTTCGATAGAATCCCGGAAAATTTATCTGGTGGGCGCTACGCCACAAAAGGTTCCCGAAAAATATATAAGAATAATACAGGATATGTATATGGGCCATACAACAATGGTCCGTAGCACAACTGGTACTTCAGCAGGCTTCATAATAGCCGAAGGAATTCATCAAGGATCGGCTCTCAGCCCACTTCTCTTCATTACAGTAATAGATGTATTAGCACAATCTATACCTCAAACAGTCCCGTGGAATATGATATTTGCAGATGATATTGTGATACTTGCCGAATCCAAGGATGAAATGAAAGAAAGATTAGTGAATTAGATAAATATCCTAAAAAAGCACGGAATAAAAGTAAATAGAGAAATGACGGAATATATGGTGATAGGAGGAGATGAAACAGAGAGTATTGATATAAATAAATGGCAGATATCGGCAATTGAAAGCTGCAAATATTTGGACTCCACTATACAAACAAGTGGCAAAAAGAGATAAAGAGTAAAATTAATCATGGGTGGTTAAAAGTGCTATTTGACAAAAGAATCCCACACAAATTAAAGGGAACAATTTACAGTTCCATAATACAACCAACTATTCTATATATTTCGGAAACATGGCCAACCAAGGAATCAGACGAGAGAAGTCTACAAACTATGGAGATGAGAATGCTGAGGATGATGCTGGGGTAACAAGAAAGGATAAAGTGCGCAGTACAAGAATACTAAGTAGTTTAAAGGTAGACTAAGTTAATGGTAAACAGACTTAAGTGGTATGGGCACACAATGAGAAGGCCTATGAACTACATAGGAAATAAGGTTGAGAGCTTGAAAGTGATGAGCAAACGTAAAAGAGGAAGGCCAAAACTTCAATGGGGCCATAAAGTTAGAGCCAATATAAAGAAGTATAAATTAGATATAAGAGATTGTATGAATAACATAAAGTGGAGAGAGATGTTGAAGGAGCTTACCACCAGAAAAGGTGAAAGCTAAGGAGAAAAAAAAGAAAAAAGAAGGAAATTATGCCAGGCTCTAAAGGAAGGGGATGCCAGAAAAATAATTTAATAATATACCCCCTTTTAAAATGTTTAACTATTTAAAATTTAGATTGCAAATCTTATATTGCTGAGGACAGGGATTCGAACCGAACCCGAACCCGGAGAAGTGAACCCGGGTTTTTAGAAAAAAACTCTGAACCCGAACCGAACCTGAACCCCATTTATAAAATTTTCAAAACCCCGAACCGAACCCAAGAATTTTATTTGAACCCGGGTTCAAGCGGGTTCAGTGTATATTTTAAACAATTGAATTAATTTACGCCATTTATTTTTAAATTTTTATCTTATTATTCTTAAAGATTATTAATTAGAAGAAAATGGTTAACAAATCAAAGTAAAAATTATTATATTGTTAATTTAAAAATTCTAAACATCTAACTTAAAAATTGTTAAATGTAGGGCAGTTTTTGTGAACTTATTAAAATGATTTTAAAATTTATATATGCTAATCATTTATTTTTGGTTCAGATTAATTTTTACAAGATATTAATGAAGTGCATATTATAATGAAATTAAATTTATAAATATCTCTTTTTTAATTCTGAAATCATTGCTATTTAAAAAAAT